GGGAGAAAGAGATGTGGTTATTAAGGGCTTTTAGTTTTTCTTTTGCTTTGCTTCTTTTTTTCTCTATGTTTTGTTTGCTTTTCTTTCTTTCTTTTTTTTAATGTGGTGGGATGTAAGGTAGAGAGGTGAAGAAGGTATAGCGGAAGAGACAAGGGGTTATACCAAAAACAACAACAACAACAACAACAACAACAAAACGAATTTGGAAGAGCTGCGAATTAACACTTACAGGCTGAAGACAACAGGCTTTTACCGACAGACTAGTAAGATATGAAAAGGTAAAACTAGTACAACGCGTACAGGTAAGCAGTTAGTTGAACAAACAGGTAAGCAAACCGACAGAGAGGTAGGTACACTGAGACAGTGAACTTTTAAACTCTGCACTGTTAAAACGAGCAGGTAAGTTGTTGAAGACAAAGGCAATGGTGTCTCTTTGCCGTCTGCCCCCGCTGCTGTCTGTAACAGTCTCGTTATCCCCGCCCCTGGCCCGCCTCGCCGAGTCATTCATCAAACTGTCTGTGCCAGCCGGGCTCTCCGCGTGTTTTCTGCTCGCTCGCGATTGGCTAAGGGACGGGGAATACCCCCCTACCGTGGCGGCTTTGTGTACAACGCTATGCAAATGAGGGCCGGAGAGGAGAAATCACGGCAAGGTGCCGCATATCGAGTTGTGACTGACTCGAGTTTGTCGAGTTAAAAGACAAAAGTTATGGAATTCCTCGCACACTCCGAGAGACAGTTGGAGTGCGTTGACAGTGGTGAGGTGCCGGCAAGACGTGGAAGATAGCTTGCTTGCACTCTGTTGCTAGATAATCGTCTTCGCGTGTTCTGTTCTCGGAGTTTGTGAGTTAACGCCAGTCTCTCGGTCGCGGTGTGGGTGTGTGTGTGTATGTGCATCGGTATCAGTGAACGTGTGTGACCACCGCTGTGGATTCTCAGGTAAAGCGTGCTTGCTATTGCTAGCATCAGTGTATCTAGGCCAAGCATGGGGCCGTTACACTTTGATGCCAGTCCCGGCTATTTTGCGTCGGTTCTGCTCGTTTTGACCTGTGTTTTGACTACTACGGTTCACGGCCAAAGTTCCATGTCCGAGGAGATGATTGTTTTGGCAAACCGTGGCATCGTTGTACCGTTGGGAAGGTCAGTTTACGTTTCGCCTGATGACCTGCAAATCCGAGTGCGGCCCAGTGACAAGTGCGTGGTCACTGTGCTAGAGAATGACCCCTTGTCTCAGAGGCCGGGCAGACTCATGCCGTCCAGCTTCCCGTGTAACTTTGGCGCTCAAGATCTCATTTACTCCCACTTTGGCTCGAGAAACCCACCCAATGACGTGATTCGCGTGCAGATCCGTTATGACACTTTCAGGGAGACGATTCTCATCCCACTGGCCATTCACGTGGAGGTGTCGTTCATGCAGCTGGAGGTGATCGTCAGGAACATGCCCATCACCGTGGACAAACTGATGGGCGTGAGTACTCCCATAGACGAGAACCATCTCGAGTTTGACTACGCACGAGGCCTGGAGCAGTGTAAGTTGTCCGTCCTGCCCAGAGAAAGCGGCCAGCCGAGGTACGGCTTTGTCATGAACGACAGCTCCATCCTGCAGATGGTGGACTGCGACGACTTTCTCCGACTCGGAGTTCGCTACAAGCACAACGCCACCACCAACTCTCCCAACAAAGATTACATCCCTCTCGTCGTGGAGATCATCGACCCTGAAGGCCAAGTTGCCAAACGAGAGTATTTCCAAATGCTCGTTCGTATTCTCGACGGAAAAGAAAACGAGCGGCCCAGCCCTGAGTTCAGCGCCAAGTTAAGCATGGAGGTAGACCAGTTCGTGATGACCGCTCTGACACCAGACGTTTTGGCCGCCGAAGACGTCGAAACTCCATCAGATTTTCTCATTTTCAACATCACGAAACCACTGGCTCCCGGAGAAGGGTACTTCGTGAGTACCGACGACAGGAACCAACTAATCACCTCCTTCTATCAGCGCGACATAAGAGATCTGAAGATCGCGTACAAACCACCAGAGGAAGACTCCGATGTGCGACGTGTCGTTTTCATCGACATGCAGGTCATGGATTCAGATGGTGCGCTCTCCGACCCCTTTATTCTGATGGTCGTTGTGAAACCGATGAACACCCTAGCCCCCGTAGTCACCACGAACCAAGGCATCCAGCTGTTTGAGGGCCAGTCCAGAGCCCTGAGGGCGGACTCGAACTTCCGAGTTTCTGACGAAGATAACTTAGAGAACGTCAGGATCTCCGTCGCCAACGGCTTACGTCACGGAACTTTGACCATCCCAGAGGGCCGTAAGTTCTTCACGCCGGCTGACTTGAGGGCCGGCTCTGTGGTGTACACTCACGACGACTCGGACTCTTACTCAGACAACATTATCTTCCGCATGAACGACGGCGAGAACACTGTAGAGTTCCTCTTCCCCATCTGGGTTTTCCCGGAGGATGACGAGGCGCCACAGATTCAGTATAACACCATGCTGGAGATCAACAAACACGATCTAGCGGAGATTACGCCCTTCCTCCTCAGCGCCACGGATGCTGATACGGACGACGCGCTCATCAGATTTATTTTAGAGCCACCTTACTCCGAAGAAGGAATCTTCTTGAAGCGTCAATTCCAAATACCAGAAGACCCTGATGACTGGCAGTTTACTGAAGGCGTTTACGAACAAATTGTAGACGAATTCACCCAGGGGGATATTGTGGACGGCAAAATCTTCTACCAGCATGTCGGCGAGCACCGCTCCGATTTTATTATGGACAATATCAAATTTTTCGTGGTGGACTCTGCTGACCCTCCCAACAGGTCCAACCAGACGACGTTTGTGGTCAAGATCGCGCCAGTGGATGACCAGTTGCCTTACGTGTACCCGAATACGTCGCTGCACATGGATGTGGAGGAGTTTGAGATGACAGAGTTTAAGCGGAGGTTTATGCGTTATACTGATGACGAC